CTTTAATTTAAAAGACAGAAAAGATATGTTATTCCTTTTTTTAAAATGTTTTATTTATTTCTGAGAGAGAGAGACAGACAGACAGACAGCATGAGCAGAGGAGGGTCAGAGAGAGAAGGAGATACAGAATCTGAAACAGGCTCCAGGCTCTGAGCTGGCAGTCAGCACAGGGCCCGACGCCGTCTCGAACCCACGAACCGTGAGATCAGATGAGTAGATGACCTGAGCAGAAGGTGGAGGCTTAACCAACTGAGCCACTCAGGCTCAGTTATTTGTAATTAAATATTGAGCACAATCCGAATTTGCTGCCAATCAAGATATTTTAAAAGGATTTACGATTTATGATTTGCTCATTTATTTCACTCAAGCCTTTCCTCACTTAGGAAGGAAGGAAGGAAGGAAGGAAGGAAGGAAGGAAGGAAGGAAGGAAGAAGGAAGGAAGGAAGGAAGGAAGGAAGGAAGGAAGGAAGGAAGGAAGGAAGGAGGAAAATCTTGTCTATTATTGATAGTATCAATTTATGTAGCTCCTTTCCCTTTAAAAAATTTTATTGACTATGCTTCAAATTTTCCTGGTTTTGTGGGAAAAATCCCTCAGCCATAAGGTACAAATGTGCCTTACAGGTCACCACTGAATCACACCAGGCAGCAAAATTGATGATATATACACATATTAATTTATCAAACTGAATGATTACATTGAAAGCAGGTGGCTGCAATTCAGGGTCAAATAGTGTATTATCCTAAAATCTTGCACTTTAAATAGAAATTTATTGGACATTTTAATAGCTTTCTAAATTGAGGGATTTATCAAGTGCTTAAATTTTTAAGTATTTTTCTAACTTCCTTCAAATGAAACTTATAAAGGATAAATGAAGGGTGTTTTTGCTGAAACAGCTTTGTTTCAAGCTGAGTAATAAAGTATATCACCAACCAAAATAATTTATTTTAAGTGGATTACTTATAGGTTTCTAGGATTAGTAATGCATAATGTTACTAAAGATCAGCATTTAAAACAAGTACACTTAAATAAAGTGCTGATACTTTTATTTCATTTTTCCTATATTCACACTGTATTTATCTCAGATTGCCTTAGAAGTTTATAGACTTCAAATATTATGGCTACACAATGGCAATTGTTCCCAAACAGTATTATTTTTTGTTGGAAGACTGTTCAATTGCCATGTATAGGAGAATAGCAAGGAGTGATGTCACAGAAATGAGACCAGTAGCAAATTGGGAAGTTCATACAAAGGAAGAAATAAGGGGATGAGAAAGAAGAAATTCTAACTTCAAAAAAAGGTGAAAACAACTTCACTTTACTCTAGATCCTGCTTCAGTGAGTAGATGAGAAAACCTAATGAATTTACTGCTTCCCCGGATCTTAGATAGAGCTCAATTTTTAACTGTTAGGTTATTATATGAGGACTAAATAATTCTTCTAAATAGACTTTCCACAGTATCAGCAGACTTCCCAATCAAAGTCCATCAGTAGTTTATTTCTAACATGGTGTATATGCCCTTATTTATTAGATGCTTTTTACTAAAACACTGGTGAACACTTAAAATGTTTAATGGAATATTAAGTACCGTATACTTAACCTTTTCTCAGGTAATTATAGGATCTGAAATAGAACCTGTAAGTAATAAATACTGTAATATTTCATAAAATGAGTCTTATGAAAGTTAATATAGTTAGAACTTCATATTCCAACTGGAGTCTAAACAAGGAACAGATTCATAAATCTTTAGCCCTATTTTGAAAACTTCTCAATTTAACTCAGAGAAGGAAAAGGCAAAGACCTCTGAAACCTAAAATACAACATTCCAATTTCATTTATAAAAATATGGAAATGTAAATTTTATTTCAAATATAAAACACTGTAGAACATAATCAATTTAAAGAGAAGGCCCTGAGACTTACTGATGCGAATTTACCTACTCTGTACGTTAAGTAATAACTAAATTTAAGTCACTTTATATAATAGATTGAAGATTAATGGAATTTACTTTTAAGCTTAATTGGCTCATAATAAACTGACCAAAAGAAAATCCTGTGTATTATTGATAGTATCAATTGGTCAACCAATTGCTTTTATTTACCCTTAACTGTGATTTATTCTTCACAAAGGTGTAGATAAAGCTTAGGCAAAAAATCGAAACAACCCCAAATTCTTAAATACTGAACTAAACATAACCTATGATTAGTTGAGACACGTTTATGGATGTAGACATTTATATGTGGTTATTTCCTCAAATTCATAGCCTATCATGAAAGTTTTTAAACATGCAAGCAGGATCTCTGATAAACTACTGACCATGTATATTCCATTTTAAATGTCTTGAAAAAATTTTTCCCAAGAAAGTCTAAGTTCCAATTTACATTATGATCTTAGGAAACATTTTTTTAAATTTACATTTTGAAATCTTTTATTTTAGGATATTCGGTCAGTATCTTTAAGACACTTCATTTGGAAACAACTGCATTATATGTTTCGTATTCTGCTCTAAAAGCCCACAAATAACTTCATAAAGTTTCCTTAAGTAAATAATTTTGTTCCATTATAACAAATTGGTGTAGAAAAAGTTCCAAACTGTGAGCTGTTTATCATGAGGACCTCTTCCCTCTCACCCTACCAACTTTATATAATGCCCTTATAAAACTGCTTCATGAATAGAATTAACTTTGGGACCATGAGATGTCTATTACATGAATATTCAACTCTGTTTGAATCCTGAAAAGATCCACCATCTCAAAACTATTTCTAAAGTCTACTTATATAAGACATTACTCCTAATCCTATTTTTTTCAAATAGCAAACTTGAACACACTGTAATTCTTTTAAGAATCTTTATTGAAGTTTTTCTTAACAATTTAGTCTGTTGGATCTCAATGCAGTTTATAAAAAAACTTCAGTATAGTTTCATATAAACTGCAACCAAAAAAGTAAGTTACTTTGTCAAAGAAGTTATCTGAAGTTGCAAGTTATTTTTTGTAATAAGTAGAACAGTAAAATGTAAGCATGCTCTCGGATGCAGGTGCTCCTGTGTACTATGGAGTTACTTTGAAGAGCTTGCTAAGATCTGCAGGCAGTCTATAGAATGCATTTATTTTCTCCACAATTTAGGTACATGAGAAAACTGATATTTATGAATAAAGTCTTTTTCTCAAAAAAGTTGAGGCAGCTTTTGTTGAATGCTATCTGTGCGGGTACACTGGCTACCCCTCGAACCGGACTAAGAGAAACAGCCAGGAGTCCATGTTCATGCTGAAACTTGAAAAATCCCTCCACAGGAGTTGAGTTCCAAGAGAAGGAAGAGGATAAAACACTATGCACAGCTTTTCATCGTCTTACATTAACAAGACACACCAAGAAACTTCACATAACAAGGGAGCAAATTCCCTTCACTGCTTTCAGTCAAGGTCAGTGGTGTCCATAGTGGAGGGTGGAAGTGGAGCAAGCTTAGGACAGAATAAAGCTTAAGTCTACATGTCATGCATAGCTGTCCTCAAATGTGTCTCAGACATCCGAATTAGAACTGAGGTTTGTCAACCTGGGGTCCGCGTTGATTTCATATCTGTAGTGATACCCTTCCATGTGATCCCTGCAGGCATCTCTGATATTATGCATCCACTTTTTTATCCCCTTGCGGTTCAAGTACAAAACCAGTAGGAAAATGGCACCTATCAGGGCTAAAACAATACCTAGAAAGACATAAGAAGTCTGCAGGGATGGAGGGAGGATAGGGTCACACTCCAGGTGGGAGACGTTGAGTTCCAAAAGGGCCCGATTCCACATTTTTTCCGGGAATGCACAGGCGAGCCTGGATTTGCCCTGCACTATCTCTGTCTCCTTGAGCCAGGCCACCATGTCTACCATGTGGCAGTCGCAGACCCAGGGATTGTTGTCCAAGAAGACCGTGACGTGGGGCAGGCTCTGCAACTCCGCCAGGGTGCTGTTGTGAAGGACCTTGAGGGCGTTGTCCTCCAGGTGGAGGCTTTCTAGGTGTGTCAGGTTGCGGAAGGACACGTAGGTTAAGCTCACCAGAGAGTTGTTGCGCAGATCCAGGTGCCTGAGGCCGGGGAGGTCGACCAGTACGTCGCGAGGCAAGTAAAGGAAGCGGTTGCTGGCCAGTTCGAGGCGCTGGAGGCCGCGAAGCGCATGGCCCGCGCGTAGGGCCGCCGCCACCATGCCCTCGAAACTCCGGTTCCGCCGGTTGTCGTCAGGGGGCACGACGTGGTTCAGCAGCAGTTCCGCCAGGGGGCTGGGGGCCGAGAGGCTGGCGTTGCCGCCCGAGAAGGCGAAGGGGCTGAGCTGGGCCAGCGGGTTGTGGCTGAGGTCGAGCTGGCGCAGGCTGGGCAGATGCTCGAAGGCGCCGGCGCGCACGTCCTGCAGGCGGCTGCCACTGAGGTTGAGCGTGGCCAGCTCCGCCAGCGGCGGCCGGCGGGCAAAGGCGCCGGCGGGGAGCACCGCCAGCTGATTGCCGGTGAGGAAGAGGTTGCGCACGTAGTGGGGCAGGTCCGCGGGCACCTCGGTCAGGTTGCGGTTCACGCACTTGACGGTGCGCGCCGCCTCGGAGCACTCGCAAAGCTGGGGACATTGGCCCGGCAGCGGGGGCTGGGCGGACACCGCGGAGGCCAGGAACGACGCGGAGGAGGTGGAGGGCGCCGAGGAAGTGAACGGGGACGAGGAGACCCAGCCCAGGAGGACCAGCGCCAGCCGCGCCAGCCGCAGCCGCCCGTCTCCGGCGGCGGCGCCCCGGGAGCACCCCCCAGGCATCGCGGCGCGGCTTTCCCCGGAGCTGGGCTGAGACGGCGCCCGCTCCGAAGCCTCGGGAGCCGGTCCGGAGGGCGCCCGCCTGCCGGAAGCGTCCGGAGAAAACTTTCCTCTCTTGCGAGCGGAGGAGGGACGCCGCAGCCGGAACTTGGCTAACCCCCTCGCCACCCGGCGTCCCCCTCCCGGGGCCGATTCCCCCACCCCTTCCCTCCAAAAAGTACGCACGGCGGGTCTGGACGCCCAGCTCCGCGCTCTTCCTCAGGCTCGTCTTCCTGCCGCCGCCCCCGGGTGGCACCCTCCGGCCTCTTTTGTTGGCGCCTCGTGCTCGATCCGCTTCAGGACCTGGGACAGGCGGGAGAGAAGCATGAGCAGCGGCGGCGGCCGCAGCTCCCCGAGTGCGGGAACCGGGCTCCCCAAGCCAAGTCGTCCCCACGCGGTCCCCAAGACCTCCCTCCGAAAGCGCGTCCGGGCTCCGCCTCCCCCACTCCCACGCACATCTTCACCCCCGAGAGGGGCGCGCGTCCCGAGACACCGAGGGGAAAGTCTCCCCTCTGCCCAGGCCCACGCTATATATACATTCTTCCAGCCTCCCGCCCTCCTCCCTCCCGACCAGATTCGTCCCCGGAGTCGAACTTCTCACTTAATCCCCAGCGCCTTCCCGACCAAACTTCTCACTCTCCCCGCTCGGTCCCCGACCGCCTCCGCGGGCGACCTGCCTTCCGGGGTCCCCGCCCCCGCCCGACCTCACCTCGCGGTCCAGGTTGGGAAGGGAGGGAAGTTTCAGGTTACAGGAGTCTTTTCATCTCTTTGGGCACCTTCTCCGCTTAGCAGGAAATGGAGGACCTAACAGCTGTCGCTGCCCCCTCCCCCTCAGCCCCCGCCCCAGCCAGACCCTCGGATCCCAGAGGGGGTTCAAGTCATCTCCAAAGAGTCAGGGAGGGGCCGCGAACAAAGCGGCGGTGGGACCCCGGACCCACGCCACTCTCCCTTCAAAAGATGGGAAGGGGCCACGGCGCAGCCTCCGCGTTTTCGCCTTCGCCGCTGGCTCCCCGCCGCTCACCTCCGCGCCGGTCACCTCCAGAGACAACTCTGAGTCTCACCGGAGTCGCGGCGACTTCCCGGCTCCGCGCAGCGGGCGCCGACTCTCCTAGCACCCCAGCCCTTGGCCCAGCCTCCGCAGCTGGGAAAAACCAACCTTGGGGGCGGGGGAGAGCTGGGCCTGCTGGAGGCGCTGCTCCCGCCGCGCGACCAACCTTTGCAGCCCTCGGTAGGGGGATTTAAGAAAAGACACTGGGGGGATCTGGGCCGCGCGCCTCCTCCCGGTGGAAATTAACGAGGGCTGTGCCCGGAAAGGTGAGGGAATCCCTCTCTCTCCCCCTTCGCCTGCATCCTTTGGTGGTTCCTCATTTTGCATAATGTATTTACCTTGGACAGGAAGAAAACCGCTGGTGAATCTCGTGGAATTCACTCTGATTTTGGCACCTCGCGCCGTATAGGTAGTTTTAGGGGTGACAGAGCCACGCGAAGCAGCAGCATTAAGAAATGAGCAGGAAATGTACAGCGGCAGCAGCAAAATGCCTAGCAAGCTGCAAGGGAGCTTCAGAAAGTCTTCCCACCCGAGTGATAACGTTACATGCCAATTTAAGGTTTAGGTGTAATTAATGCATCCCCACCTGTCCCACCCCCGCACTTCTAGGATAGTTACAGAACTTGAGAACTAGAGAGCCAACTTTAAGAGGGAAAAGGAGTCGAGGAGAGGAGATTCGTTCTTGGTTCATTAGCTTTCCTCCTCCCCAAATTAAAAACAGAGGGAAGAAAACAGCAGCCAAAGCATGCTAGAAAGAAAAGGCAAATAGCAAAGACTTGAGTCACCCAGAAAGCGGATGTGGCATTGGTGTGCCAGTGCAAGTCTCTTAAGATGGGAGAGCCCATGAGGTGGGGGATGGGACGTGGGCGGCCCTCGGAGGACGGAAGTTTGGTCCAGATGTCTATCCTCCCAGGGAGTGCCTGGCAGGCTGGGGAGGTGGAGAGGATGGAGTTGGGGAAAGGGATAGATTGTTATCTGGAGGATCTGTTATTTCGGAGAGGTTTAGGGTCCTGAGGGCTCCAGCGTTGCTCTCTAAATAACTCTATCCAATAATTGTCCTGAAAGGATGAGAAGGTGCTGGTATTCCAGGCTTCTTCATTTTAGAGAGAAAATGGCAATTAGAGGAAATAATTGGGAAAATTGAGATCTGGAAGGTAATATAAAAAGAAACAAAGAGGAAATGCTGAAGTTTGTGCCTGTGACGTGTGCGTTTAGCATGAAGAAATGCCCCAATTCTCAAGCGATTCCTGATTTACTTTGGTGGAAACAGAGAGTCTGCAGAGTCAACAGCAAAAATGGCCCAGACAAGACCTAGAGGGGTTGGGGACTGCAGAGATTTGTACAAAATGCCATTCTTGTTAGTTTGTATCTTGACAGTTATCTAAATTCTTTTTTTCTTATTTTTAAAACTGTTTTGCAACAAGAATGTGAAACGCTTTGAAAAAAGAATCTCAAAAGCTAGAGTCATGTTCTGTATCTGGACTGTGGTAGTGGTTACATAAATCTGTACATGGGTTAAAATTCATAAAACTTTATACACCGAAAAAGAGTGGATTGTACTGTATGACAATTTTTAAAACAAAATGAATTACTCAGACGAAAAATTGTAAATAATGTTCTCGCATGGCATTAATTCTGATTCTGATCTAAGGAGCAAGCACTCTGTTGAGGAGAATGAGAAGCTGTTTAGAATATAGAAAGATAATATGTATTTCTCATCTGATCCTCAAATCAACTTGGCAATATTGGTATTATTTGTGTCTCTGTCTTGTTATTGATGTTGTTATTCTGGGTTTTTTTAATGAAAAAACTGGGGTTCTGGGCCAAGAATAACTAGCATTGACTTAGTGTTCTTTCATTGGACAAACCCTGTGCTGACCACTTTACAGAAATTATCTCTTTTTTTCATTGTGTCAGTACTCAGGTCTTCTTACTCCTGTTATACAGACAAGAAAATTAGGCAAAAATAAATTATGTAACTTGTTCGAATGTGTGGTAGATATGGGGACAAGGTCCAGATGTGTCTGCCTCTCCTACATATCCCACATTCCACCTCTAACAAGGTTAAAGACTTTGTGCAGGCCTGCTCAGCTACACTTAGGTAGAACCAAAGCCACACCTCTGATTCTCTTTCCCCATCTTTTCTCCCTTTCCTCCCTGTAGCTGGCACTTGGTTATGGCTGCTGAATCAGGACCCAGAAACTTGGGGTCATTTCTAACTCTTCCATTTACTGGGTGACTTTTGTCTACCTCTGTTTCTTAATCTGTAAAATAGGACCACTAATAAAACTGTAAGGCATTTCCATTAGAATGGAGATAATGTATGAAACACACTTAGCAAAATTGCCTGTTATTGTGCTCTCCTCAATTACTCTCCCTCTCACGATTTATTGTGCAACCACTATGTATCTGTAAGTATGCTAATGATAGGAGTACAAAGATGAATAGTTTATGGTCTCCTTGAAGTAGAATTGCCAGAATTCACAAATAAAAATTTGAATTTCAGATAAATAATGAATAATTTTTTAGTATTAAGTATGCCCTGTGTAATGTTTGAGATGTACTTAAAAAATCCATTCCACTTGAAATTCTAATTTAACTGGGGGGCGCCTGGGTGGCTCAGTCAGTTGAGCACTGCCCTTCGGCTCAGGTCATAATCTCACAGTTCCTGGGTTGGAGCCCCACATTGGGCTCTGTGCTGACAGCTTAGAGCCTGGAGCCTGCTTCAGATTCCATGTCTACCCCTCTCTCTGTCCCTACCCTGTTCATGCTGTCTCTCTCCAAAAATAAATAAACATTAAAAAAAAATCTAGCTAGGCATCCATTTATTTGATCTGGCAACCAAGGAACTCATAACCTGGTGGAAGAAATGGACACAGAAACGAAAGCTTTTTCAATGCACGACATTGAAGTTTGATGTGTGTGTGTCTTTCTAATCACCTCTATTTTGTATATATTTTGTATATGTTTTACCTGTGTTTCTATTTTTTACATGAATGGGATCATAGAATATGTATTATTCATAACTTTTCTAATTTGGTACAAACATATATATCATTCTATGTCCATATACATAGGTTTGCTTTCTTCTTTTTTAAAGACTCCAAAATATTCCATGCTTTGCATTGTTATACCATATTTTTTAATCGCCTATTGAAAGATATTTAGATCAGTGACTACTTTTTAAAGAAGTTTCCTTCAAGTGAGAAAAGCTTACTAGGATCCATTCTATTTTGATTGTCTTAAGAATTTTAATTATCTTAAATTATCATACTTGCCTCACTCCTGACAGCTTGAAAATGTTTTGTGTGAGATGCTATTTACATGCTTTAGAGCAGGACAGAGGATTTCAGAGCACATTTGTTCCCCATTTATTCTTTCATTCCAGAATGAAATAAAAGGAGGATCTGAATGTCCTAATGGAGAAAAACAATTTAGCGTATTTCAATAGGTCACTTTGTAGCCTCCAGAAAAATGTCTCTGCACTATCATTTATTTAGATTGTTTCCACAGGAACCATTTTTCTTCTAATGACCCAAAGGAAAGTCATTAGTAAACTATTGAAATATTGCTGTTAAGTCTTAGAATGGCAAAGAATAATGTAGTATTAAGAAAAGAAAAAGGATGACTGATTATGGCCACCCTCATGAAAACTAGCAGAGGGAAGCCAAATAGTTCACCATGGACAAACATCAACATTATTTAAAACTACGAAATTTTGATCTCTACCTTAAATTAGCAAAGAAATTGATAAATGTAAACACTTTCAAATCTGAAAAATATAAAACAAAATTAAGTATTGGTGAATAATATCAAGCAGTTATGTCATAAAATCATGACACAACACTTAAAACCACAACAATCAACCTGAGGTTATATACATCCACTCATGGAGAAAACAATTTTTAAAAATTGTTAGCGAAAGAAAAGAAAACTCTTTTCATGAGCTGATTTCAAATTACTTTAGAAAGAAATGGGCTTCTTGTCTGATATATAAAGAAGGTAAATTAAATAACAATTAAATTAAGTCAAGCTAAATTAAATAAATTAAGTAAAGTTAAATAAATTAAGTGAAATTAAATAAAATATCAACCAGGGTTGGGTCACAAAGGACATATTTTTTTCATGAGTCAGTATAGTGGAAGGGTGGAGTTGGTAAAAGGAAAATATAAGATGTTTCAAAATTTGTTGGAGTTGAAATAAATACTTAAGAAAGAACAAGATAAAAAGCTCCAAGATGGAAAGGTTAAACTGGGTGGAAATATGTGATTCTTCAGGGGTGAGAAATATTGAAAGGTAAATAAAAACAATTACATGGTAATCTACAGAACTCCAGATAGTTAACATTACAGGATCATTCAATGTTAAAAGTGTTTAACTGTTTAAGCCTTACCATATGGCCTCCACCTACTTGATGTTCTTGGGATACAAAGGTAGAT